GGCTGACCCTGACGGGAACAAAATTCCTTTGAAGCAAATTAGTTAAAAGTCCACTTCATACTTAATTGGGTGTTTAGTGGTATTAGAGATGTACTTTCAACTACTGTCAAGATTTAGTAAAGAAGCCAAAAAGGGCGTTTACAACCCTGATCAACTTTCTCAATGAAGTCGTTTTGTAAATGCTTCTGAACCACGATTCTAGATGCCAAAAAATGACAAGACCAAATTGAAGATGCCTGGCGAAAAAGGGGAAAGCGACTTAGCCGCTCCAAAATGCTGCCACCGTTCTGTAGAAATAACTAAAATTCTTTCTACTTTATGTAAGGTACGACCAAGTAGGTATGGGACCGTATCTATCACAAGTGAAGCGGAATTTGTTTTACGACTAATTGTAGATGCGATGGAAGCGCAACATATTTGGTACCAAGCAAGGTACGTATTAAAAATTCGCCACTTCTCATCACTCTTGATGGTTATTTCCCTACACTGATGACTCAGTATCACCTCGAATGGGAAATCTCAACACGCCGTGCCATCGAAACTCGACCAAGTTTCTCCAGTTATTTCAAAGCTTTAGTAAATAAAGTGTTTCCTGCTTCACTTTGTCTCTACTGCATAAAGAAGACTGAAGGGGAATTAACTCTACTTGAGCTAAATTGAAATATTTTGGAAATTTAAATTGGTTGCATAATTTCCTTCCACCATGGGAGGATATCCGGCCAGCACTAGAAAAACGTGATTGTGGACCCAAAGTGAGATTTTTTCAAGGTTCGGTTCCGAAAGTACTTAACTGTCCCGGTGCTTTGATCGTTCTAAAACAATCTTACAAGCAATCATTGATTCGGTAGTACTTTTCAAGTACCAAGTCTTTAAAAGCGTCTCAAAATTGGAAAATTACTTCATATGGCTTCTTTTCAAACATCTTTTGAGCAACAACCCCTAAGAAGCGCAGTTTTTAGGTACGTTTCGGGTTGGCACTCTTGAACTAGTTATTAATATTTATGGCCAAGCAGAAAATTAAGGCACCTTGCTTCAGGAGACGCTCGTCTATGCGGGTATAACCGTAACCCTTTCTAAATTAATATTGCCATGAGCTGTGCCGAGAGCCGCGCGGGTCGGACAAATCCGAACACGTCAATGTGCATATTATTTCTTAAAACACAGCCAGCGTTCAAAAAGCGAAAATGTTTGCCTAATTAGCTTTTTGCGCGCGTTTTTTCAACTTTCTGTGGTTTGTGCGGTTTCTGTGCTTCATTCATGTTTTTTGAATGCAAAGAAAAGTTTGCTTCAAAATTACAAGACAATTTGAAAAAAAAAAAAAAAAAAACGGGTTTTTCTGCGTAATATCTAACATTGTATATAAATATATATCCAGATTTCACAAAACATGACAAACCATCAGACGTTATAAGGATTGAGTGAAACAGTAAAAGAACATCCTAACTTAAAGAAAAACGTGAATATTTGACTATCCAGAGCAAAATTCCGGTCATTTTCCCACCAAAATTAAGCATATAAAAACTCGAGCAGAGAGGTTATTCATTATTATTAC